ATGACCTCCAGGATAAGCTGCTCCATCACCTTTCCTGGGATGGAGGTGAGGCTGACCGGCCTGTAGTTCCCTGGGTCCTCCTTCTTGCCCTTTTTGAAGATTGGAGTGACATTGGCCTTTCTCCAGTCCTCGGGCACCTCTCCTGTCCTCCAGGACCTCTCAAAGATGATGGAGAGTGGCTCAGCAATGACATCCGCCAGCTCCCTCAGCACTCGTGGGTGCATTCCATCGGGGCCCATGGATTTGTGGACATCCAGATCGCTTAAGCGATCCCTCACACAGTTCTCCTCGACCAAGGGAAAGTCGTCCTCTTTGTAGGCTTCTTCTCTTACCTCCGGGGCCTAGATCTGCAAATTTAGATCATGTAATGGAAGTATATGCCTTATCAGTATTCTTTTGAAGGCTTTTTCAGTCTATTAAAGTTCTAGCAGCGTTACTCAAAGAACACCAGAGAACTAGATGTACCAGTTACCTGTGACAGGCTATAAACATAAACTAGTACTGTTGTTATAGTATGCAATACTGATCTCTACTATATAGGCCAAATTACTAAAAGATACTGAGTGACGTGACCTTTTACAGATCTGAGAATACTGAAATTGCAGTACATGATAGTGGAAACATTACTTTCTCAGTGATAATAGATATTTGGACTTCAAATCCTCATCAAAACCCGAAATTTGATGGCTAATTATTTCACAGCAGTATTAGTTGATCAGTCTGGGACAGGTGAGTTTTTTCCCACCCTGTGTCAAATCGATGCTATTGCTCTATAGGATGTTCCAGCTGAAATGGGCTTCTGTGTAGAGGAGTAAGAAATCGTGGTTGTAAGGGCAAGGCTTGGATTAGCAGTGATAGAAATAGTATAAGGGTATAGTTCCATAACAGCTTAATGTAAATAGCCTGATGTAGGGCAAGTAAAGCACTTGTGGTAGCAGTTAAACTCGTCCCCCATCTGCAGAACTGTGATGTACTTGTGAGTACTACTTCAGCTTGTGCCTGTTCATGCTGAGCCTGTTTAGTAAAATTCTTTGATACCAAAACACTTAAATTCTCAGGAAGAAAAAAGGGAGGGTTAATTTGCAGAAGTTACTGCACAACTACCTCTGTGTCAAGTATCCTAACTATTTTTAGGTTCTTGAAGTGATTGCCTCTCTTCATGATTTAAATTCCCTTAAAGTAGCAGTCCCTAAGTCAGTGCAGTGATCCTACAACTTCAAAGCATGACAACAGACTTGATAATAGATACCTTACCGTGAGCTGATTCGACACTCTTGTCCCATCTGTTCACTCAGGAAACAAACATCTGTAATAATCTAACCTGAACAACTCAGTTCAGGTACCTGTACCTTTAAAGTACCATTTATGATCTGTCAGTAAGTGCCTGTTGATAAAAGATCTCATGCCTGACCTAAAGTGGCCAATGCAGTGAACTTGTGCTTTGGAGTGGGACTAACATGAGTGTGGTGAGTTATATTTCTGGAGTAATTGAAGCATTTTATTTAAGTAATTTGCTCTTAATTTCAACTGCAGACTAAAACATGCTGAAGAGCAGCCATGCATAGCTATCTGAAGAATATTTTGTCCATGTATGTTGCTCTAGACATGTTTGTTTCAAGTGTAAACAGTTAATGAAGGAAGTGGGTCCGTTCAGCAGTACCTGAGCTAGTAGTACATCAAGTGAAAATAAACTTACCTCTGTTCTTTTTTCCAGGTGAAAAACTGGGTTAAGGAATTAAGAAAAATGTTGGGAAATGAAATCTGTTTATGTATAGTAGGTAAGTCTTTTTTGACATCTGATTCTGATGACTGAATTGGAAATGTTTCTTTTGATTAATGGCATCTTCCAAACACTGCTTTGCCAGCTTGTACATGTGAAGGAGTAAAGCTTATGTTAATTTGATATTTAAAAATCAGTTGTAGCTAGAAGTTTCAGCAGATCACATTGAGGAAAACAAGAGCTGGTTTGGAAAAACAAGCTGTTTAATGACACCGTGTCAAAAGTGCATGGTACAGACACCTGCAGACTGTAGTTTGACAAAGAGAAACATGAACCTCAAATGTGCGTTATCCTTCTTGCAAGTACTCAGATGTCATGTTTTTTTACTGTTCTCAGTGGCATAGACTGGATGCTTGTCTGTTTTCATTTCAAGTGCATGGCACCTGGAATGAATCTTAAAGCTTGGGTATTTCCGTGCAAACAGAATGAAACAGAAGTACTGGGATTAGATTTAAAATCAAATCCAGTGGCTAAAACACTTTCAGGAGGATAGATTTATGGATATTCTACAAAAACTACCTCTGCAGCACAGATAAGTTGCCTAATAAATTACAAAAGAAAAGCAGAAGGCTGAATCAGTGGCTTATATGGAGGTATTTAGCCATCCTGATCTTTCTACGGAAGTAGAACTTCATCTTCGTTGCCTGTAAATGCTGGAGTGAAGGGTGATTCTTACATCACGTTGGTGTGCTCCCACTGGAGACCCGTGTGAGGGTCAGTCTTTACTGGGACAGCTTGTAAGAAAACGGTGGGGTACAGTGATTATATGACTCCTTGCTTTTGTGTGATTTTGGAGTACAAAGACTTGAAAGTTTAACTTATTTTCAACAGGTAACAAAATAGACTTGGAAAAAGAGAGACATGTTTCAGTTCAAGAAGCAGAAACGTAAGTCACACCAATTATTAATAGAAACAGTCATTGCAGAATTATGCTGGAGTATAAACTTGTGATGCTGTTAGCAACTGGCAGGCATAAGCCAGCAGTGTCTAGCTGGCTGCTGTGTTAAGTGTTCTGTTAGTATCCAAGTCCTGGAATGTCCTTACTAACCAAAGTGTAACTTGAGAGTTGCACATGATGAACGTCAACATTCGCAGTTTAAATGCATTTCTAGACATTGAGTTTTCTTTATTTCATCTGGTGGTTTTCATGAGTCACGGCAGTTTTAACGACGTAATTCCCTTTTTACATTAAATCAGCATGTGTACATTAACTCTGAACTCGGAATAAACCTCTTGTGATAATCTTTTTGCTTCATGTAAAGTGGCTTAGAAAGATGGAGTTCTTCAGTACAGTGAAGTTCTGCATCTGTATTCCTACAGGTATGCTGAATCTGTTGGAGCAAAACATTATCACACTTCAGCTAAACAGAACAAAGGAATTGAAGAACTGTTTCTTGACCTTTGTAAAAGTAGGTATTATCTAGTTTGTTGGCAGAGAGCTCATTCACAAAATGCTCAAGGCTTCAGAATGCTTAAAACCATATAGAAAAGCTTTAATGTAAACTATTACTAACAACTGCCCTCATCCGAGTCTACTTCAAGCCACCCGTGTATTGTAACAGCTATGGGAGCTTGGTGTGTGGATGCTTACAATACTGCAAATTCATGCTGTACTCCCAAAATGTCTTTTTGTCGGAGCACTGACTGTTTCATTCCACATGCGTAAATACTAACTTCAAATTAAACTTCATGTGACTGGTCTCACTATAGCCTGCTTCAAACCCTCTGTATCAACCTCTTAAAATTTCTCCAATGATGTCAATTACAAATCATGAAGTTGTGATGATGCAAATTCTACACAGCAGTAAGATCATGGAATGTAGGATAAAAACATTGTAATACAGGGAAGTTATCCTATTCATTGTGTTCTTACAATACAAGAATTTAAGCAAAACTTCACCAGCATGTCTGAAGAGTAGGCTGGGGTTTTTTGGGGGGTGGGGTGGTATATGTGTTGTGTATGGGGTTTCTTGTTTGTTTTCTTTTAATAGAATATTCTTGATATGGGTGGGAAAATCTAGCTTTTGAAGTCACTAACTACAGAACATCTGAGCAGCAGGAGCTGCTGGATGCTTGGTGAGTTAGGAAGAAGATTTAAGTGTGCTTTTGCAGCTATGCCATGTGATACCCGAGTACTTCTGCATAATAAATAGGAGAACCAGTCTTGCTGAACTTTGTGCATGTAACTCGAATAGATTAAGATCTCAGTCTTGTGTAGAAATGCAGTGGAATGTCATCTAAACATTTCTTTCTTTACAGGAATGATAGAAACTGCTCAAGTGGATGAAAGAGCAAGAGGCAATGGTTCCAGTCAGCCAGGAACAGCAAGGCGAGGTGTACAGATCATTGATGATGAGCCACAAGTACAGAGCAGTGGAGGGTGCTGTTCTTCCGGATAATTATAAAACTGTGCATCACTGCCCTCTCAGTATGAAGACTGCCATATTCCAAGTTGCGCATTCTCTACCAATGGAGTAATAGAATTAACAGGATTTAAAAATAATCACATGTAACACTGCAGAGACCTTAAGTGCTAAACTAGTGGCGTCTGTGACCAGAGAATTGGCATTTTCTACAGTGGTTAACAAAGCAATTACCAATGGCCTTTTTACATATTTTTCTTTAATGAGGAATAATATGCATGTAGAAAAGACCTACTTAAAGGCTTCATTTGTATTCTTTTAAATCAGATCATTATTTAATAACTTATATACATTGTTGTTGGAATGGTATACGTTTTTGCAGCTCTTTGTATTTTGTGGTAGATTGAATTGTATCACTTCTAAAATGCAACCTGATTTTTTTTTTTTAATTAGCAGATATCTGAAGTAATATTTTTGCGGGCCCTCTACAAGCCTATAACTGTCAACTACTTTGATATATTCTGTTCATCCTGTATGCCAAGCTGGTAAAATACATTGTAAATTACATATTAAATATTTTATCTGCTTTTACAATTGCAGGTGCAGAACTATGTACATCAGTCTTGTCAGTGATTGTGAAGTGAATAAGTCAGTGAAAGCTGCAAGCTTTACATGTGTACTGTTGAATTGCTCATTCTATTCCCCCTACATGAAAAGAGCTTTTTTTTTTTGGGACATTAATAGCTACAGCATTTTTTCTAAGCCTTTTCTGGTAAGCAGCGGTATTTGTAGTTACCCCCTTAGTGGGAAGGGAATGCTTCCTTAGACTGCTGTTTAACATTGAGGTGTCTGACTCCCAGCTAAAACAGTTGACGCATGCATATATCTTGCCTCTGCAGCTACTTTGGCCTCTCAGAATATCCCCAGAAGGTCAAAGCAACTTCAGCCCTTGCTATCTGGTATCCAGTAAACCAGATGTGTGGGAAACTGTTAAGCTGCGTTAATATATTTGTGTCCCAAGACAGCATTATGAACTCTTAATGAGCATATTTTCCACCCCGACCCCGTATTGCAGGACTTGAGTGAAGAAATGAACTGGCACTAACTAGAACTGCTTCTGATTTGGAGTGATGAAGTGGAAGACAAGAAACTTATCGGATGTAATAGTAACTTTGGGGCTACTAGACAGAACTGAACTTACTCCTGACTTGCTCTTTCTCTTGTAAAGTGTTTTGAAGCCCACTTAAGTTTTGGGAGGAGGGTTTTTGGAAACAAAGTGTATAAACTACTATCACAAAGGAACACAAATGGTGGTAGTGGAAAGTTTGAAATGTTTTGTGCTCTGACTTTTTTTTACTTAAGTTGTCATGCTTGGAAAAATAGTAAAGGTGATGTCTATGACAAAATAGAATATTCCTTGGCCTTCCTTTTTCTGAAGGGTAGAATTAGTAATGCATATGAATGCATTGAATGGTGTGGGTATGTTCCAGTGCACAAAAGCAATAGTTAGTAACTCGTCAGTCTGTGCCAGAGAAGTGTACTGTCTTCAATCAGATTTTTATTTTCTCTGAAATAATAGTGGCTTTGATACAGACTGGTCCTGGTGCACTTTTTCCCTTTCTGCCTACACTGTAGTGTAGATACTTTCTCTTAAGCTACCATTGCCATGCTCTTCTGACATGGTTGTACGCATGATGGATGAAGGTGATGTGTTCATGCTAGTGAAGATAAAGTTTATTGTCTACACAGAGCTTTGGTGTGAATCTGAAATTCATGACTGTATGTGTGTATTTGTAGCAACATCATTAAGTTAACATTCTCCTATTATATCGAACTCAGTGAGCCTTGCCAAAGTTGAAAAACAGGCCAGATTAATCTCAAACCAGTACCTTCAAATCCATACAGTGAGATGAAAGTCAGTCTTGTAAGTGATAGAATATTGATACAAGGAGTGAAATGGGCAAGATTCTATGTTGGAGACTGGAATCTCCTCATAACAAGAGTTCTGGATTTTTTGATTCAAACTTCATTTTCTGCAGTGATTGGTGGAAAAACAAAAAAAAAAAAAACAAACCCCACCCTCAACTAAATTTGATCAGAAGATGAGTCATGAGGGCATACCTACACCAGAGCATATGCGTTATCTCCAGAGCAGGCTTTCTCCACTTTGTTGAAGTGGACAGCTGCAGTGCTGATCTGGAAATTAATACTAGGTGTTTACTCAAGAGAATGTTGTTTGACTGCTTTGAAGTAGAAGCAGTGTGTAGAATATATCTTTCTGCCTGCAGCTAAAGAGTTTTTCTTTGTGTATTCTGTGGTAGGGATGTTCTGTGTGATTTCTGTCAATTACAAAACTAACAAAGCCATGTTGATACTAACTCTTAAGTCCCTTACAAAACTGAAACTATTACTGCTGAAAATTTATGTGGGGGTAAGGAAGCTGACAATTTTGTGTGATTAAAAAAGGTTCTGGCTGCTATTAGCGAAATATTTCTTAAATTCTCAGAAGTTACTTCTCTTAATGAAGCTACAGCATGTAAAATACTTTGGAAACCTTTCTAAGCTGCAGTTTGATTGGACTTCATGGAACTTGAAACCTGTGCTTAGCAGGGTATCCTTATATTACCTTACAAAAGAAGTATAGCTTCATGAAGTTGGGAAAGTTGGTTTCAAAGACAGCAGTAGAAACATGCATTGTTTGAACTGATTAACGTAAGACTTCAGCTATTCTTTGTTAGCAGACAAAATATAACAGTTCCAAGTAAAAGCATCTTTACTGAAGATATCTAGAGTCTTCTTTGCATTAAATATATAGGAGAGCACAGATAGCTTGGTTTTCTATATTTGAGCAGGATCTTACTCAAGTAACCTGGTATTACTACTATGTGGCTTGAAAACCTAGAGTCTTGCATTTGCTGGAATCTTACTTAGAGTGCCTGGTTTGTATATCTTAAGGAAAAGTGTTTTCTTATTGTTAACTTCTGTTGCTGAAAACAAGTAAGCTATTTTTCATTCTTGTGCGAAGAGTGGATGAGAACAGCTATGTCTCTAGAAAGTACCTCTATTGTGGAATAATACCAGCCAGGCACCTGCTACAGCATGTAAGTCAACATTGAGCACACTTTCTCAGAGCAAATCTTCACAAACATTAAGTTAGATCTTCTTTATTATAGCATATGACTAAAATAAGTTTCTAAAACAACTTTAAGTGTGTTCTTACAGTCTTAATGGTGCTGCTATGAATACTTCAGCTACCTATGAAACTGTCACTTGATGAAATAAAATCTAACAAACCAAAGTGCAAAAACTTTGATGCAGCAGTGTGTATCTCTATTAGGAGTTATTTATGGACGCTGTCTTACTGCATTTACAAGTTCAGAAGTTATAAAAGACCAGATAGACTGATTCAGACAAGGGAAGTCTAATAAATTCAGATGTTAGTACTTGGAGATGAGTGCAACTAGCTGTAAAGGTTGGGGACAATGACTTCATCTGGTTTGCAGTGAACTCCCATATGGTTCCAAGATGGCATTGTCCAGTGTCCAGATGCCCTGCATTGGCTGGTCTCTTAAGACGGTTAAGTAATTGAGTGTTGCCTTGATTGTACTTTTTTCTTCAATGCTTAGAGACAGTGGACAGGCATTCTTGCTTACTACCACATTAAAAATTATCCCTTAGCCCTTTTTATTGTGCCATTCTTATTGTTGTAGGTGTTTAACTTTTATCTCTGCCTACAGTTCTTGAAGAAACCTAGTAATCCAACTTCTTTGGATTCCAAGCCAGATGAAAAAAGCTTTGCAGAAAGGTATGAGGTCATGGAAGGTGGTTGGATATCAAATGGCGTTCTCTGAAAATGTCTGATGCTGCCAGAAAAACACAGTTTAAAGAAGGAGAGAGGAATGGGATTTGTGCTTCGGTACAAATGGAGGTCAGGAATCTGAAAACAAAATAAAATGGAAGCGGTAAAGTGGTATGAATGACAGAGTGTGGGAATATGAATTGGAGCCAGCTATCTCTTTTTCTGCTCTTTGTGGAAGGAAAAGTAGTAGAAAGCAAAATGCAAGTAGGAAAAACCTGAAGGTGCTGGTAGTGGGCTGCTGAGTGAGGTGTTGAGTTAACCATTTCTTGATCCCATCTTGATCAACCATAGCTTGAGTTGCTAGCGTGTCATCAGTAATGGTAGTTCCCTAATTCAAGACTTTTATGAATCTTGTTTTTCCTTCTGAAATACCATTTTTGCTTCACTAAAGAGAATGCAACAAACTTTCAACAGGCTTTCAGGCACAATACTAACCTACTTGAAAACTTGACTAGAATATGCTAATTTATGAGCTATTTACATTTAACTGACTCTGCTAATCTTAATTTGTGAGATTTTTTATTTTCCTGACAAGTCAGGAAATATCTCAGTGAGGATAACTTTTACTACAGAGTTGCAGCTGAAGACCAAGATCCTTGGCACCAGTAGCTGTACAAGCTGAACAAAGCCCTAAAACTAGCTCTCTGTGCTGGGTACTGTTGCTCATGTTACTCTTTGAAAGATTCTACTCAACACCAAGATTTTTTCCTGTATTTAGGACCAACCTGTGCATTTCAGTGATGTAGCCATCTACTGAATGTAGGCTTTTTCTATCAAATAACAACAATGTATACTCTTCTCTCTTCCATTTTTGGAGCTGTCATTGGCCACTGTATTGAGCAGAATGAGATGGAGAAATGATTTTGAGAATTGTGGAGAATCTGGAATGTTTCTTGTCTTGAGTTGGCTTGAAGAGTGAGAATCTATGAAACTGTCACCATTATGACAAAGGTATTATTCTGTCCAAGGTAACTGAAAATATTTTGGCTTGGAAAAAAGTTCTACTATAATCTGATTAAAATGATCATTGCTCTACTTCCAAAATGAAAATTAATTTCAAGCTGATCTCTTTTGATTATTTTTTTTCCAAGACTTGTTTACCAAACTTGGCCAAAACCTTCAGTTGATTGGCATGTTCTACAGCCCTAAAATAATGCCTGTGACTGTAGGGAGGAGCTGTGTACTCATTCATATTCCACTGGACAGTTTGGAGCTTTGATTGTATTTATTCAATCAATATTGAATAAATTGATATTTATTCAATCAATGTCGAAAGATAGACTGCAAAAATAATTGTTTCCATTGATTTCCACTGCTTTTGTGCACGCAGGCGAGCAGCGTGGCCTGATGCAGCTGCAGAGCGAATGTGAAGAGAGGGCTTCTGTCCCTCTCTTCTGCTTGTTGGCTGCACTGATCCTCATTGTTAATGAATTACTACTGCAGGAAACTTTCCATGCTGGAGATCCCCCTGTACAAGAAAGAAGATACGCATGTTCTCTGCTTGCTTCTCTCGCTCTCCTAGACAATGATAGGAACTACAACAGTAACACCCAGTTCCTCCCAGTTTGAGAACACTGTTTTTTCTCAAGGGGAGCTTTTCTTATTTCTTGACTTTTTTTTCAGTGTATCTATTATCACTGATCCCCTGCAAGGGATTTTAGTACTTCATTGTAGGTGACCCAGAAGCAATGCAATTTGGAAGTATGACAAGGATGATGAGTAGCAGTACTGCAGCAATCTTTCTCAGCAATTGGGCCTATCCTGCCTCCAAACCAGTGAAGGGAATACTGGAAGAGTAATAGCAAGTCCTTACTGCCTCTAGTACCTGACTCCTGATTCTTGGATATTGGAATTAACTTAGAAGGAAATCCAGGAAATTTAAGAAACTGCATAATCAGGCTTTTCTTAATGGAAAAAGAAAAGGAAAGCATTTGATAACTAAATCTTTAAGTGCTGTCAGTGCTATTTGATCATACAGGCATTATAACGATTGTCTTACTGGATTTTTCTCATCAGATAAGCTGATTGAACTTATCAGGCTCAATCGAAGAGAATATTTTTCTTTGAACCCAGAGAAAATGTTAGCAGGGCAAAAGCCAACACTGAAAAGGGCACAGCATTTTTAATATTTGGTAACCTGATGTCAAATATTGTAGGAATATTCTATTTGCCATTTGTGGACAAAAG